CTGGCCACGCCCCCACAGCCCACAACCCCGCAAACCCTAGGGCCCGTGCCAGCCCCAGCTGGCTCACGGCCCACATTCCTGGCTCCTGCTCTGGAGCCCAGGAGCTCATTAGAGCCTCAGGCTGATCACGGGGAAGGGCTGAGGGTCAGAGGCCATTGTGGCCCTGGGTAGGAAGAGGGGCTGGAGGACTCGGCTGCGGTGCACCTCTGCTTCTTCCCATAAAACTCAGGGTGGTCCAGGGGGGCAATGTCACCCCTGACTCACTGGTCCCCAAGGCCCTCAGCATAAATCCATCACAGGGCACTTGCTGACCTGGCTTTGGGAGCACTACCAGCCTCCTCACCCCCATCCCCAAGGACCTCCCCACATTTGGGCCTTTGCATGTGCTGTTCCACTGCCTGGAATGCCTGTAATTCAGAGATGTGTGTAAATCAGTCATGTCTACCCAGTGGGGTGAGTTTGTGAGAGAAGGAAGGCCCAGCAAGCACATCAGAGGGAGCAGGGTCCGGACCAGGCCTGGAAGGGTCAGGGCAAGTTTCACAGCTGGCTTTGGAAACCAAGTAGCAAGTTTCTAGGAGCAAGACTGGGGAGGGTGTTTCACGGGTGACCATATGGCTGGGGGAATACAGGATGGGGCAGGATGAACTCCCCAGCGAGGTTATTCCTGGCACTGAGAGCATAGGGAGAGGAGGGCCAGTAGGGTGTGGGGTCTCACCTGCTGAAGAATCACCATGGTCCTGAGCCAGACGCTCCTGCTGCCTGCCTGGCCAGACACAGCTCTGCAGGGAGAGAGACCATGTCATGCCTCTGGGAGGCCAGCCCTGGCAGCCTTGAGCCTGGCTAGGGTCACCTGGGCTCCTCCCAAAGCCCCAGCCCCTCCTCCCCGGAGGGAACCCTCCCTGGCTTCTCTCCCTCTGGCCACAGTCCAGCCTGCATGACCTGAGCCTCAGCCACGGTAACCCGCTCCATTGCCCAGAGCAGCTGAGCTCTTCTCTTAGCCACTGTCATTCAGAGATTCCCAAAGGGCTCCTAGAAAGTAGCAAGTCTAGCCTTACCCTGGACACATAGGCAAAGGGGCCCAGAGAGGGACCAAGACTTGTCCAAGGTCACACAGCAGGGCAGGGCAAATTTAGGACTAGGACTTAGTCTCTGGCCTCCCAGCTCAAGGCTGCCCCAGGAGTATGGATGACAGGGGGGCAGCCTGGCCCAAGGGGAAGGTCATGGACTGAGCATGACCCACTCAGGGCCCACTCTGAAACCCTTCTAGAGCACCCACTGCCCTCAGGGTGGGGCATAAGCACCCCAGCCTGGCTTTTAAGGCCCAGCACAGTCTGGCCCCCACTGGTATCTCAGTGTTTTCTCTCCCTACATTGTTCCTTCCCTACCCTTGCACTTGGACCATCCTTAGTGATTCACTGTTCCTGAAATAGGCCCGCTCTTTCTGTAACTCCTGGCCTTTGCATACACTGGCCCTTCTACCTGGAATCTTGACTAGTAAATTCCCACCTATGGCTCATGGCTCAGTTCAGGTGGTACCTCCTCCAGGAAGCCTTTCCTGACCACCCCCAAGCTGCCAAGAGCCTCTATGTTTCCCTTTATCCCATCCTGACTATAGGCATAATGTTGTCTGGGACAGGGTCTGACCCCACCTGTGCCTCCAAAGTTGGGGAGTTGATCCAGGACAGGGCATGGCCAGGGGGACCAGGTCTGAGCTGTCACTTGTCTGCAGCCTCACCCAGCACAGAGCCAGGCTCAGAGATGGGCTCAGGAAGGACTTGTGGGACTGAGTGTGGCTCTCAAAGGCAGCCCCAGCCCCCAGGCCCTGGCATGAGGCCCCTCTGGCTCCTAACCTGTCCCCCAGGATGGGCATCAATTTTTCACAAGGGTCCATTCAGAGGCGCTGGGGCATTTGATCCTCTGCCCATGACACTGCCTGACACCTGAGCCCTAACCCCTGCCCTGGAGCTCTGGAACGTAGCAAGCACACTGTCCTTCCCAAGACCTGCACCCGGCTGGGTGCCTGGCCAGGAAATGGAGTCAGCAAAGGCCAGTGAGCCGCTGCCATGGGCGCTACGTCTGAAGATGGTGCCTGGTCCTTGGTGCCCGCATCCTATGCCAGCATGAACCACGAGGGCCGGAGCAGAGCCCACGCCTCCCTTAAAGGTTTGGGGCTCCAGAGGATGTGGGAGGGTGGTGAGGGCACATATTTTAAGGGTCATACACTAGGAAAAACTATGAGATATACATATTATTTCCAAACAATGAGAACGAGACCATGTTTAGGTTCATTTCTTTTCAAACTGACAACAGGGAACACAGACTGTATGGACATTTCTGTGCCCATGCTTGGTATTACCTTGCCCCCACAGCAACCCTGGCTGGTGGGGCTCTGTGCTCCCATTTCTCAGGTGGGAAATTTGAGGCACAAAGGAGGGAAGTGACTTATCCAAACAGACAGATAGAGTGTCAGAGAGAAAGCAAAGGAGACAGAGACAGGGACAGAGGTCTCTCTCTGCTGCCCCAGCAGATCTGCTCCCCTGGCACAAGGATGCCCCTACCTCCAGCCCCAGCTCAGAGATGACTCAATGGACACCACGCCCCTGGGCTCTTCCCTTCTCTGGGGTACAAGCCTCCATCTTTTCAAGCTCAGGATAGTGTCATTCAATGGCTGCTGTGGCTGAGCCCTCAAGGGCAGCAGGAAGCCCAGGTCCAAGAGCCAGTGGCTCTGGGGGCAGAGGCTCCAGAGGTGACTCCTCCACATGCAAGAAACCCTCTCCCAATGCCCAGAACAGTGGCAGCCCATTCTTACCTGGGTCCCAACTGCCCACTCTCAGTGACCCACCAGCCTTGGAACAGCGTCCACCTGCAGAGAGGACTCCGGAAGCTGGGGTCACAGGCCCAGGACCGTCTGCAAACAAGCTTCCCTCTTCTTGCTCCAAGGCTCACCCTGGGTGTCTCTGGGTCTTTCTGTTTCTGGCTGCCTCCCTGTGTACTGTCTCTCCCTTTCTTTCCTGCCCAGGGCAGCTGTCCAGCCGGCACTGCCACGCTCCCGTCCTCACTCCAGAGCCTTCTCCCAGGAGGCGGAGCCGGAGGGGCCTCCAAGGTCTGGGTGCAGTGACATCAGCGTGGGGGGCGGGCTGTGCTGGGGCTGGGACTGACATCCAGAGGCTGCCCAAGGCTCTGTGCGGAGGATGGCAGGCCAACGGGGAGGCAGAGTGCTGGGATCTCTCTCTGGCTGTGCTGCGGACCTGCCGGGACCTGGGCTGGGGCCCGTCCTGGCCTGAGGTGCCTCCCGTCAATCGCAGTACCTGGCCTGCTGTCTCAGCACCTGAGCAGGAAGCCTCGTCTGATCCTGACCTAGTCACTAACGTGCTGGGGCCTCAGCCCCTGCCTGCCGTCCTCCAGCCCGGCTCCTCCTCCCTTCCAGGGCTGGGACTCTGAGAGGGCAAGGCCTGGCCCACACAGCAGGAGGCAAAGTGCTGAGCAAGCCCCGTGTTCTGGCACCTTCTCCCCTCCCTGAGCACACACCCCCTGCTCTATCCCCACTTCCGAGGGCTCCCCACAGCTGTGTCCCCAGTTCAACACCGACGCCCACAGGATGCGTGTTATTCTATAATCTCCCAAAAACTTTGCCAAATCAGCTAGCTAGGAACAACCCACACTTAACAGGGACCCATCCAAATCGAAGTGAAATCTGTGATTTAAAAGGGGGGTGTGGTGGACAAGCAAGGAGCACACAAAATCCTGTTGTTAGTGGGGGCGAAGACAGTGACCTCCAGCCCTCCCTGGTGAGACCTGGCACTTCTTCCTCTCCCCTGCGCCGCACCTGGCAGCCGCCCACCAGCGCGCCTCTCCAGGGGCGGCTCCGGCTTGCAGACAGAGGGCTCTCTGGGATCCCGGGCCTCCGTAACCGGGGCGCATCTGCGGGGAAGCTGCCCAGAAGGGTGCGGGGTGGGGAACCAATGGCTCAACAGCGCCTCCTGCTGGGCACAGGTGCCACTGCCCCGGTGCTCCCGTGGGACCAAGGCCGAGAGGCTGGGCAAGCGACATCGGCAACAGGCAGCCTCCGCTGGGGCCGGGTGCACCTTAGCCCAGCGGCTCTGGCAGGATTTGCCCTGGAACCTGCCGCTCCTCAAACGCCCTCTCCTTGAGCCTCCCGGGTGGCACTGGCCTGACACGAGTGGGAAAAGTGGGACCCAGAGAGGAGCATGAGGGTGCCCGAGGCTCAGGGCTGGCAGTCGGGACAGAGTGCGGGTTAGCTGTAGGGGTGGGGGACGGGGTGGCCTCCAAGTGCCGGATCACAGCTACGCTGCACTCAACACCTCCGTGGACCAGGCACTATGCCAAGCAGGTCACGTGACTCGTACTGCCCATTTCTCACAATCCCGTGAGAAAACTTAGCCATCCTGGTTTACTTCGTCCTCACACTGCAGTCACAGCCCTGTCCCCCAAGTCCAATCTATCATTGGGTTCTGTCCTCCACCCTGCCTTCAGAATCTATCCCAACCCCGGTTCTCCCCACTGCCGCCCCTGCTTCCTGGCCGAGCTGCTGCATCTGCTCTCAACAGCGCCCCACAAGCCCATCTCCTCCCGGCAATCACGGCTGCCTCCGTCGCCTTTAGCCCAGCAGGCTAGCAGAGCTCCGGTAAGTCCCACACTGCCCCGTCAGTAGTTCTCTGCGTAGCGTCTGTCACCATCAGTGCTTGTGTTTGCTCTCCCTACTAGTGTGTAGACTGTTTCAGAGCGGGGACTGTGTCTGGGTCCCACCTCCCCGGTGCCTGGGATGGGGCTCAGCACCCAGCCGGCCCCACGCTTTGCTGAAGGAATGACTGACCCCAAGATCTCAGCTCGCAGGCCCACCGGGCACGCAGCAGCATCCTTACTCGCTCATCCCTCTGACCACAGGACAGCCACCCCAGGCCTGGGCAGTATTCCCTCCATTGTCCCTTCCCCCCAGAGGGACACACAGACACAGGAAGGTCTTTCTGGAATTGTGGTAACATTTATTCTGAGGACAGGACAGGCCTCCTCTCCTCTGACCCCGTGATGGGCCTGGAGGGGAGGGAAGCTCAGGTCTGGGTGTGTGGGCTGAGGCCTCACCCTTCGACAAATGGGGACCCCAAGGCCCCCGTGGGTGTATAAGATGAACAAAGCAATACTCTCCCGCACCCACCCTGCCCCATAACCTGCTGGGGACCAGAGAGGCCTGCATAGCCAGGAGCCAGCCTGGCCCACCTCTGCGGGCAGGAAGCAAGGGCAGGGCTGCCGAAGCGGCTCTGTGGCGGGTGGGAGACACTGCCTGGCCCCAGGCTGAGGCTCACACAGGCCTGACGCTTGGCCCTGGTCTGCTCCTGTATCCCGGGGGACATGGCTGAGCAAAGACCCAGGAGTCAGCGCCAGGGCCCACGCTGGCTTCCCCAGCACTCACCTCTCCACCCCATCGCAGGAGCTTCGCTTGAAAGAGACGTGGAGAAGTGGGGATTACACGACCGTGCGTGCAGTGTGTGCGCACACAGATATACGCGGAGAAAGGGGGATTGTTTTGCCCTTATCCAGCACTTGGTAGTAAGAGTGCTGACAACGAGAATCATTGGCCCCACTCTATAGAAGGGGGAAATCGAGGCACAGGAGGTTTAAGTGACTTGCTCCTGGTCAGTCACAGAGCATCGGTCCCAGGCTCAGGTTCTCGAGGGGAGGTCCCTGTATCTGAGAAAGAGTCCTCCTGTCCTCCTTGTCTTTCAGTTCCTGGCCCTTCACGGGGCCCAGGGCCAGGGCCCAGGAGCAGAGCCAGCCACAGGGGAGGACGCAAAGTCAGAGAAGCCTGCACCTCCAGCCAGGACACTGGGCCACACGGCCGGCTCTGGAGTCAAAAAGTCAGGTCCCCAAAAGGAATTCCCAGCAAGGCCACAGGAATTGCCGTGCTTGAACCATCTGTTATGCTTGGTCTGGAAGCCCAAGAAGAGCATAGAAGAGACCCCAGGTCTCAGGCCCCAGGTCATGGCACCAACACACAACAAAAACATGGCTGTGCCAACTTGCAAGACACCCCAGTACAAAACACCCTCTTCTTCCTCCACCTGCAGACCTCCTCCGAAGATGCCATCTCCCACGTCCCTCCCCAAGTGGAATCAAAATAAAGTCAGAGGACCCACAAAACTGGAGTTCAAGAAAAAAGGAGGTTCGGCCTTTACATTTTCTTTAAAAGCCTCTGGTTAAAATTGAGGTTTTTGAAACTGAAAGAATATAAAACATTAAAGACTACAAGGAACATTTTGGTCCAGGCAGCAAGAAGAGAGCACTGTGGCCTCCCTGACTGCATTTTGGGGGCATGGTGCGGGGGGCCCTCTGGCCAGGTGACAGAGCTACCATCTCCTGCCAAGGCCAATGGATGGCCTGATCCCAGTGGGCCTGGCACCATCCACCCCAGAGTCCCTTCTCCCAGGAAAATCTGGGGTCTTGCAGTGGGGGGGGGCTGGTCAGGGAGCACGTGCCTCCCCCCCCCCCCGCCCTGGCCCACTAGCCCAGGCATGCATCTGCAGTGGAGGCAGGAAGGTGCCCCGTCCTCGCCCCCCACTGCCACCACCTCTCTGGAAACCTGAAGCCAGGGGCTGGAATGAAATCAGAGCCTGGAATGAGCGGGGAGTCACAGTTCCTCGGGGCGCCCACCTATGAGAGGCCGTGAGGACAGAGGCGAGGCCCAAGGCAGAGGCCGGGGAGGGCCCCGCTTCACTCAGAGCCTCAAGGGTATCATTAATTCATTTGGCAAATCTGTGTTGAATGACTAACTGGATGGGTTAGTGGACAGGATTAGAGAATGAACAAATGCCAGCTGCACATTTGCCCAATTCCGACCTGAGCAGGAATCCAGCAGGAGCCAGAAGTGCTTTCAAGGTGGCAGAAAACCAGGTGTAGGTGACAGGGAAAGTGAGTTCTGGGAGACTGACGTGGGCCCAGGACACAAGGGACAAGAATGGGACTTTGGGGACATGGCAGTTTGTGTGTAAACAAGTGACATCTTGGCACCCCTCAGCAGACAGCAGGCCCTTGGGAAAACGTTTTCAACGGATAGAATCCCTTAGCAGTGGTGACAATTGGGGTGGGAGGGCTATTTTAAGTCTCAGGCAAGAAAATGCCCCCATAAGAAGGGAATGCTTTGGGGCCTTCAGGACACCGAGGCTCAGAGAGGGGCAGAGACTTCCCAAAGTCACACAGCAAGTCAGTGGAAGAGTGGGAAAAGGACCTGTGTCCTGGCTCTCAGGCTAGTCTCAGGCCCGGCGGGAACATGCAGATGGTGGTGAGAACTGTCAGGGCCAGGTAGGTGGGCAGGTGTCAGACGGCCATGAGCGAGGCACTGCTGAGGACACGCACAGCAACAGTGCCCGGAAGGTCACTGGGCTGCCGTCTACTGCGGTCCCGGAGGTGGAGGGTGTGCAGGGCCTGGAGGTCGTCTGGGTCAGCCTTCAGGTACACCTGGCCCAGGAACTCGTCCTTCAGGACTCGGTGGTTCCAGATCTGGGAGGAGACAGAGGATCGTGGCGGGGCTGGCTCGAAGACCAGGAATATAGGTCCATGGGGGGTGCTGGTGGTGGCAGCAGGGGCCTTGAACCCGCTTCCCGCAGCGCAAGCCTGGCTGAGGAAAAGGAGTCAGACTGTCTGCCTCCCCGTGAATCTTGGACAAAGTCATGCCCCTCCCAGAGCCTCGGGCTCCCCATCTGTCAGAGCTCCTTCCATGTATATAGTTAAATCTGTTACCGTTAGCTCTGCTGTTGACCTTGTTGACTTGGACAAGTGATACACCCCCTGCCCCAGTTTCCCCATCTTTAATATGAGGGTTGGACCAACTGCCCCTAGGGGTCCTTCCAGCCCGACATCTGTGGGTCTGTGATTTGATCCAGTGGGACCCAGTGTTAAGGAAACTCGGAAAAGCTACAGCGGCTCTCCCAAGGTACCTGACGAGACGCTGACCAAGGCCTGGGGGACAGAGAGCTTGTCTAATGATCACAGACTCACTGTCCACTGGCCACCCGGGCCTGAGAGGAGAAGGGAGCCCACGGCCAAGCACACTGGCTTTCCGACCCTGCTCCAGGCTCTTAGGAAACAGCTGCACCCACCACGCACCACCTCAGTGAATGTTTCCGGGTGGATCCAGTGGCTTTGGGTGAGACCAGCAGAGAGGGCCACTGTCCCCAGCCAGGAGACTGGCCCTTCTGGGTCCAGAATCATGCCGGCTAACCCAACGTGCCCACCCATAGAAGGGAGGCAAGAGAACACCCAAGGCCGCCCTGGCGGTCAGAGACAGACTGACAAGCAGAACCCGGCACGCCTGGGTCCCCATCAAAGGCTCTTCATGCTGAACCTTGCCCCTCTGAGTGAGGAGCCTCAGGCTGGGGGCCCAGAAGGGGCCCTGCGGACAGGTGGGCTCACCTGGACAGTGATGGGCTGGCCGGGCTTCTTGCGGTAGAAGACGCCTTTCACATCGTACTCGGGCGTGGAGGTGCCCCTCTGCACGGCCGAGCGGACTTTGTCCCCCTCACACTTGATGATCACATAAGAGTCTGCCCCTAGAGAGTGGGGTGGAAGATGGGGTGACGCTGGGCAGGAGCAGGGCCCAGATGGGACAGAGAGCTGGGAGGCGAGACGCCCCCCTGGACTCAGTTATTCAGAAGGGGAGACTGGAGCCTGACCCACCTCAGGGCCCCTTAACTTCCAAGACAGCAGACCTGCAGCGACACACTGGTCACCTCCAGCCTCTGGGCCTCACCCATGCTCTTCCCTCTGCCCAGAGCACCCTTCTCCCCAACCTCTTTCCATCAGACTTCATACCTTAAGACCTCCTCAGTCTGGAGGAAGGCCCCCTCCTCCAGGAAGCCCTCCCTCCCAGCTGTCCGTTCCTGTATCTGGCTGCCCCACCCCACTGGAAGCTCCCCAAGAAGAGGCAGACCTGTTCCTCTCTCTGTGCCTGGCATCACCCCAGGGCTGGCTGGGCATACACTGGGTGTCAGGAAAGGTTTGCTGACTTGCTGAGTTAGAGCAGAGGAGCTCTGGAGGCTGGCGTCTGCGCTGGCAGGGAGACAGCATGGAGCAACCAGCAAGCTGGGGGGAACTCACCTGATGGGGAGTCCTTGAGGCCAGCAGCCCCCAGGACATGTACCTGGGTCACCTGCTGGGGGTAGCCACACAGGGAGCTCCAGCAGGTGCGGGGAGGCTCGTCCAGGCGCAGCTCCCTGTTACGGGGCAGGGGAGGGGGTGGGGGTGATGGAGGAGCACCAAGGAGACAGAAGGTGAGGTGAGGGTTCAAGAAGTGGGAGGGAAGAGGAGCAGTATTTAATCTGGATATTTACTGCATTTAGCCCTGGGCATATCTCCAAGGGCAGACCCCAACCATCCAGCCCCCATGGGCTTCCGCCTTCTCTATCCCTACCAAGGGTGCCCCATCCTCCTGCAACGGGAAAGCAATTTACTAAGCGCTTGCTGTATGCCAAGCCCTCTGCTGGGGTGTTACAGGTATGACTCCTAATCCTCACAAAGCCCTGGCAGACAGGTAACTATTATTGCGCCCACGTTACGGTTTAGGAAGCAGCAGACTCTCCCAGGTGACAGGACTTGCCCATACCGCTGGGAAGTGGGGGAGGCTGGCTGGCAGGACCCAAGGCCACCTGACTCTACCACACCACAGACTGCCTCCTGGGTCTGGCATGTGGGCAGAGCCTACTTGTCCTTCTGGGGACACCGAGTCTGGGCTGCATACCAAGGTGGGGAGGACAGTGTGGGACCCACAGGGTCTGTACCCCAGCAAGAACAAGGATGGTTCAGCAGTCCTCTGGACCATGGGACAGGGGATTGTGGTGACAAGACCACAATCCCAGAATCAGACAGGGGTGGCCCATCCCGACTCTACCACTGGCTGCAAGACCTTGGAAAACCCATCTAACCCGACCCCCTATTCTCATTCCTAAAATGGAGGGGTCAGGACTCCCGCTCAGGGGTGCTGGAAGATCAGACGAGATGAGTGAAAGCCTCTTTGTAAACTGTGGAGTGCGGTGCACACATGAGAAGCTGTTCCCAGTCATGGCCAGAGACGCTGGGACAAGGGAGCAGGGGCGAGAGAGGAAGGAGGTGGGCACCAGTGTTCCCAGGGCGGCTGGAAGCCTGGGCTCCACACCTCAGGCAGACACTGAGCATCTCTGGGGCTGCAGGATCTGGGTCACCCCAGTGTGGACCTCGCCCCCAACCCACTCTAGCCAACCCCCACGCACCGGCAGTTGGAGGGCACGTCAGTGAAGACTCGGAGCAGGAACTCGCCGGTGTGGCCTGGCTCAAAGGTGGTGGGGATGATGACGTAGCGGCCCTCGGGCTGCTCGGTGCGCAGGAAGACACTGCGCGAGTTGATGTAGATGGAGCTGGCAGCCTTGTGCTGCAGCCTGTGCATGCGGTACTGGCGGTTCTCCTCCACCTGCGCGAGACGGGAGGGGCTGGGCCACCGGCGCCCCTCCCCCACCCCAGCCCACCCGCCTCCCCCGACCCCACCACCGTGAAAGGGGCGAGAGTCCATTTATATGAAACATCCAGGACAGGCAAATCTTTAGAGACAGGAGTGGATTAGTGTTTGCCTAGGGCCCAGGGGAGGGGGTCGATGGGAGTGGGCGGGATGGCTAAGGGAGTGCGTTTTTTGGGGGATGATGAACTATTCTAAAATCGACTGCGGTGATGGTTGCACAACTCTGTGACTACACTAAAAGTCAACAGATTGTACACTTCAAATGGGCAAATTGCATAGTCTGCGAAATATATCTCAATAAAAGCTGTTAAAAAGGTGGGGGTGCGATAGGAAGCCCCCCTGGCAACAATGTCCACGGGGTTTCTGACTGTCACAACAGAAACAAGTATCAGGATCTGCCGGAGTCGCAGCCGTGTCCATGAAATGACATTGCCAGCTGCCAGGTCATGCTAGACAATCCTGAAAACAAGTGCCACAATAGTGAAGTGGCACTAGTGAAGATGACATTCCAAACTCACAAGAGTGTCACAACGTGTCAGCACACAATGAATGTACCAGTGCAATGATGTGAGCAAATCGCCATGACACGACCAAGCACATCAAATGCCAGGAACTCAGCGTGGGCCAAGCCCCTGCCATATCCATGTGGTTTCATTAAGTTATCACAGCCTGACAAGGACGTGGGGTCCCGCTATGCCGACCGTCACCATACACTGGGCATCTCAACGTGTAGAAGGCCTCAGGGTCCAGGCCGGGGGAGTGGCTGGGGTGAGTGTGCCTGGCTCTGCCCAAGGATGCCTCCTCCCTGCGCCCAGCAAGGCCTCCAACGCAGGCAGGCTGCAGGAGCTGCGAGAGGCCCTGAGGCCTGAGGGAGGAGCAGTGGGGCCCAACAGACACCCAGGACCTCCCAGAGCCTGGCCCCGGCCACCAGCAATCCTCCCCTCCCTCATCTGCCAAACAGCCCCGGCCTGCGGGTCCTGGGCAGAAAGAAGTCTGGCTGAGAGCTTCCGTAGAAGCTGGTCCCAGGCAGGCTGGGCAGTCGGTGGCTGTTCCAAACAGGGCCCACAGCATCAGCACGATGTCAGCCATGGCAGCCAGGGTGGCTGGAGGGATGGCAGTGACCAAGATGTTCTAGAGTGTTCTCCCCTAGGCACGGGCAGCCCGAACTCCAGCTCCCTTGCTCTCCTCACCCACAGTGGGGTTCCAGCTGACCTCACCTTGTAGATGTCGAAGCCGATGGCCAGGTTCTCGCCCTTGCCCTCCCGGCGGGTAGAGCGCTTCGGCCGCTGCTGGATGCAGATCAGCACTTCGTCCTCCGGCTTCTTCACGTCAAAGATGTACTGCAGGACGGCCAAGGAGAGAGAGACACCGCAGTGAGACCCTGCCAAGGACGGGCTCGCTGGCTCCCAGGAGCTTGGACTCCAGGGCTTGGGCCAGTCTCGTCACCCGTCTGGGCTTCGGCCCCTCCTTTGTGAGACGGGCCCAGCAGTGTCTACCACGGCTGCCCCGCATGAAGGGGTGGGAGAGCTCAATGAGATAAGGGGTGCTCAGCTCAGAGCCTGGCATATAGGCGGTGCTCAACAAGGGCACATCATGCATGAGGACTAAGCAGCTGCATGGGTCATATCTGAGGGAGCTGCAGGGCAGAGGTCCCTGTGGGGAGCCCCGCCTGGCCAAGTCCCCGGGAGGGCAGAACTATGCTGTGTAGAAGCAAGGAGTTGAGTTCCCGGCTCAGCCTCTAAATGTCCCTGTAACTCAGGACGAGACACTCCTAAGTCCCTCAGCCCGCAGTTTCCTCACTGTTATCCTCTGCAGGTTAGACTGTGAGGCTGGGGGCTTCATGACCATTAGACGGGACCAACGTGCCCATCCAAACCCCCATCGTACACATGGGTTTGCTGAGGCCCAAGGAGGGACAGGGATGTACCCGAGGTCATGCAGGAGTCCCTGGCAGGACAGCGGCAGGGGCCCCATGGTGGCTGCAGGGATGAGTGGGGTCCCTGAGAACGCCCACCTGTGGGTTCTGGAAGAAGGTGTCCTTGTGGTTGATGCAGCCCCCGCTGCGGTTCTGTTGCGGGTCTTCATGCCGCGTCCAGGCGCCGCGCAGCCGGGCCTCCTCCCACGTCTTGTGGATGCTCAGGTAGGACGTGTTGATCAGGCGGCACTGGATGATGTCGGTAAAGTACCGGCACACGTCCTCGAAGGTCATCCTAGACATGGGAAGGGGCTCACCAGTCGCTCTCCCCGGCCCCCGGCCCACCTGCCCGCTCGCTCCACGCGGTTCCACACGCTCTGAACCACGGCCCACACAGGAGCACAGACATGGCATCACACAGACCCATAACCTCTCTTTTGGCCTTAGTTTCCTCATTTGTAAATGGGGATGAATCTAACGACAGTTGCCTATCTCACAGGGTTAGTGTAGGGATTAAATACTGCAATAAAGTCATCTAGTACAGCTTCCAGCAGACGGGCCAGTTGGCAGAGGCCGGCTGTGACACTCAGTGCTAGTGTGAATGACCAACGTGTGCTGCCCTCTACAGTTTACAAAGCACGTTTCCACCCATTATCTTCCACGGCTGGGGCGAGGCCTGAGTGAGCTGGTGGTGGGAACCCTGTAAGGAGCTGTCGCAGCGGCCAGGGCATCGCCACGGTCACATGCACTGTGCACACCTCCAGGAGCCTGGGTGGGGGCAGGAGGAGTGTACTGAGTGTGAACACGTAGGAGAAAGGCCTTACGAAGAAGCCCTTTCCACAGATGAGGGGTTTTGCTGTTCTAATTCAACTGAGCCCTAAGCCAGGCTGGCAAAGCGAATCTCATCCACAGGAGCCCAGACAGAGGGCCTGGGTGGCCTCCTGCAGTGGCTCCCCTGATGCTGCAGGAGGGGTCCTCGATGGGGCACCAGGATCACTGCCATCTGCTTCTGGGCATCTGGCACACCCAGGATGCCCTGCACCCCTCCAGGAAGTGGCTGAGTCTCCATATCAAGTGCTCTGCTGAAGAGCAACACAGCCAGGCCCACAGTCAGGACCAAATGCAGGTTGGACGAACACAGGTTGGATGAACGCAGGAGTGATTTTTGGGCTCCCTAATCTAGGCTGCTGCCATCTCCCCAGCCCATCCCCACCCATGTGCCCCGTAAGCTCCCTCTCTTCCCCGGCTCACTCTTCCCAAATCCAGCCGCGCTCTCTCACCTCTGGGCCAGGTCGCTCTCCCTGCCCACCAAGGCTACCCTGCACCCCAAGTCTCAGCTACTCTGTGAGCCTCTCCTCTTCCCTACTTACAGCAATCCGGCTGCCAGCCGGCTCCTGCCCTCTGGTCAACCCCCCTACCCACTGCATCCTGGCTGCTTGCCAAGGCTCAGCCTGGGTGCCAGAGCAGCCCAAGGTCCCCTCGGGTGGGCAGAAGGCGCTATGGGGCTGAACGAGCTCATTACTGCCCAGCTAATCTTACAGAGAAGGAAACTGAGCCTCAGGGAGACGGCGTGACTTGTCCAAGGCCACGGCAAGTCGAGGAAGGGGCCTGTGCTAGCGGCCTGGCTCCTGGCTCCCAGCCGGCACTCCCTGCCGGGCCCACGGGAGGGGCCCTCAGCCCCAGACACCCGGGGCACGCGCACACTCACCAGAACTCCCCGTCGTCCTGCACGGTCACGCCCATCTTCTCCCGCTCACTCTTGCTCACCTTCTGCCATTCCTCTGAGCTGGGATGTGAGTGCCGGGGTGGGGAGAGGGAGCCACCTAAGAGGAGGGGCCCCACCAGGACCCCCCAACAATGGCACAGAAGCAGGCAGCACAGCTCAGCACCAGGCCTCTAGCAGTGCAGTGTGGCTAGAGGCACCCAGGGCCATGCCCAGCCCCTCTCCAGAAGCCCTGTCTGCCCCTTCCCACAGGGAACTGTGGGTGTCACCATGCCAGGGCTGGGTGGTCTGGAAGCAAAACTGCAGGCTGGGGGTGAGGGGGCGTGACCCCCAGTGGAAGGGGCTCCTTCACTGGGCACCTGGGCTCCATGCCCCTTCTGGCCTCAGCAGGGCCACGAGCCAAGCACTCAGGGGTCACCCCATTCACTCACTGCTGGTGGCCTCACTCCCTGTCCCGGCCCCACTTGCCCAAGACTGGTCTGTATGTTCTCTGTAAGTCAGCGTCCCCCGACCCAGGCCTTTGCCTGTGCTGAATTCATCACCCCACACCCACTCCAAAGAAAGTCTCCTGTCTCTCTTCCCAATGTCATCCTTCTTGCAGATCCTTCAGGGCCCAGCCCCAGGGCCACCTCCTCCAAGAAGCCCACCCATCTTTTTCCACACACTTGGGCCTATGCCTGCACCCCGATCCCCAGGCCTCACGTGTCGCTCCAGGGCCCGTTCCACTCCCGCTCTCCCCAGGGGTTGCGCAGGCGGATCATGTCCAACTTTTCCGACTTGAAGAAGGCCAGCAGGCCGTGGCCCAGGCGCACCTTACGCACATCAGTGATGGCGTATGCGTGGCCCTTCACCAGGCCACACGCCAGGCGAGCCTCCATGTCTGCCGCTGTCATCGCCTGCGAGAAGACACACTGCTCAGAGAGCAGGGCCACACTGGAACCCAAACCTGGTGGGACTCGGGGCTGGAGCTACAGCCAGGAGGCCACAGCACCCTCTACAGGCCACTATGGGAACTGCAGCCCCGCACAAAGGCGAGACCTCGTTCTACTGTGATTAGGGACACTCCTGTGTTCACTGACCTTTACTAACCCCCACTGGACCAGCAGTCTGCGAAAAAGGAAGTGGGGTCAGCCCGGAGCTTGCACAGGCTCAGCTGTTAAATATGCAGGGATTTTGAGCACTGGCTGTTAAACACTGGGAGCTGGCAACCAAACTTGGTGGGAGTACTTACACCACAGAAATCAGCAAATGCTACAAATCTGGGCTTTCTATTTTCTTAGAGAGCCAGTTTCTCAGCACACCACAGGGCCTGCTAAACTTGGGTTCAGATTCTGCCTTCGCCGAGCCCCCGCTTTCCCACCCCAAACATGGGCCAGCGGTGAGATCAGGATGCTCCCGAAGCCCCCAGCCCTGTGTGGCGTGCGACAGGGGCGCCCTGCCCTCCCCCAGGTGCCCCCGGCTTCTGATGCCTCACCTTGACTGAGGGACCCTCGGTGCACAGACACCCACAATCCAAGGGGGTCAGAAAAGGAGGTGGGGTTGACCGGTGTGGGAAAGGCATTTCACAGCCTGGGCGCGGGCAGGGGGTCCGAGGCATGTACTCCCCAGCACTGGGGAAAGCGTCGTGCCTTCCAACTGCTCCCCTCCCCCACGAGGCCGAGCGTCTGGCTTTACGGGCTGACCTGGGCCTGGGCTTGGCCTGGGACATCACAGTCACCTCCCATCCCCGTCAAGTGGGTGAAGGGCAGAGGCCGTCTCTGGGACCCGCCCTGTGTTCTCACCTTGATGGAGGCACTGATGAGGCCGCCCCGGCTGTGCACCTTTAATACGCGCTCAAAGAGCTGGTTCCTCTTGGTCTCGTCGTTGGCAAAGTCACCCTCGGTCAGGTCGATGGGCTCAGAAACACCGCCGGTGAAGTCCACCAGAGCGTCCGCCGTGTTGCCTCCATCCAGGGCCTGGTAACAGCCTGCCAGCCTGGGGCAACGTGGAAAGAAAGCCCAGCTCATGCGCCCCACTAGGTCTGAATCCTTCACCTCACACGGGAGACTTTGAAACTCAGAGAGGTCAAACAAACTGCTAAGATCACACAGCGGGGACAGCAGAGCCAACACTAGAACACAGGCAGGTCTTGACTCCTGGGCTGACACCTGTCCCACTGAAACACACCATTTGACAGCTCACATTGCCCTAAGCCTCAGCAGCAACAGCTTCACAAAGCAGCTGTCCAAAAACAGAGCAATCCTTCCAAAAGTGTTAACAGCTCATATATCCTTCACACACGAATTCTGGATAAGTAACATGATTTATAATGATGTAAAGCCAGAAATAACCTAAATGTCTCACAGGAGGGAACTGGTTTTAAAAACTAACGCTGCATCTATACTCTGGAACACTAAGCAGCCATGGAAAAATTACTGGAAAAGAATCCCTGTGGGAGGGAAAATGCTAGTGCCGGCTTATTCTGTCTGAAAAAGCAACACGGTTGGAACCCAATTATGTTTAAATAATTCATTTAAAAATATTTAGCAAGCATCTACCATGTGTGACATACAACATGCCGGGAAGACAGCTGTGGCTCCTATTGACACGAGCAGGAAGAGGGCTGGGGCGTTCAAGGCACAGTGCGGAATGAGACATAGCACGGCACACTTTACGCAAATTGAAAATACACTCCCACAAAACAGCAACACAGGTTTTGCAACGTTACCTGCGAATAAAAATGCATCACAGATGTTAAGAGAGTTGCTAATGGCAGGAAAGATGGGGCACAGAGCGGGGGCAGGGCCTTGAGCCAACACCGCCACACTGTTGACCAACAGTGGGGCAGCCCCAGTGACTCAGATGGCCCAAAGCACAGCAGGGCAAGCAGGGGGCTGGGAGAACTGCAGGAGTGGGAGAGACTTTTATTAATATTAGCTTCGTCATGGTTTTCTAGACTTTCTGGATTTGCTGTAGCAGGCATGTATTTATTTTATAATTTAAAAAGTAAATAAATGTAAAAAAAAAAATGCAAGCATGAAATGGTGCAGCCGCTGAGGAGGACAGTTTGGCAGCTCCTCAAAACATTAAGCAGAACTCCCCCTGACCCAGCGATCCGCTTCTGGGCACGTAATCAAAAGAACTGAAAGCAGAGACTGGGACAGACATCTGCACACACGTGTTCACAGCGGCATTGTGCACAATAGCCAAAGGGTGGAAGCAACCCAGGCGTCCGTCAGCAGATGGACAGATGCACGAACTGTGATATATATGCACAGTGGATGCTATTCGGCCACAAAGAGGAAGGAAATTTTGATACACGCTACATCACGGATGGGCCTTGAAGGCATTATGCTCAGTGGAATAAGCCAGACATGATTCCACTTATGTGAGGCGCCCAGAACAGGCAGTTCATAGACAGAAGGCAGAACGGAGGCGCCCAGGAGCCGGGGGAGGGGGAGTTCTGTTTAATGGTTACGGAGCTCCCGTCGGGGACGATGAAAACGTTCCGGGTATAGACAGTGGTGACGGTCCACAGCATTGCGAATGTGATCAGCCACTGAACTGTGCACTTACACGTGGTTAAATGAGAAACACTATGTTTTGTACACTTTACCACAATAAAACTTTAAAAAAAGAAAAGCAAAAAACAAGAAAACAAGGCCATTGGCTTGGCTCTCCCGGGATGGGAGAAGAGGAGCCAAGGGTGGTGGTGACTCAGTGGCCACCAGGGAGTGGCTTTGCATTCTTAGGATTTAAAATGGAAGCTGCCAATGTCGTGTTTTCTTAGGTTTGTCTTTAATGTTGGGACTTTTTGTTTTCCCTTTCTGTCTCTCTCTCTCTCTCTCTCTCTCTCATACACATACGCATTTCCCAAGGAGACTGACAAATGGGCCCGGCAGGAGGAACCAGCGAGTGGCTCCCACCGAGGTGGCCAGGCTGGTCTCGGCCCTCCTGCCCCAGGCCCAGCCCAGCCCTACAAGGGCCTGGGCAGGTCACGCCGCCTCAAAGCCCTCCACAGCTCAGAAGACCTTTGCTCGTGCCCATTCTGTGCCAGGCTCTGTGCTGGGCGTGGGGGACACAGGGAAGGCAGGCACTGGGCCCACCTTCCCCAGGCCTGAGCCCAGAGTGACCACATCCCCAACAAAGACGCCCAGGCAGGGCCTGGCAGCATGGCCTGGGGAAAGATCCCAAGTGGGAGTGCTGGCTCTGCCCCTGGCCACCTGCAGGACTCCTGCCTGGGCCTCAGTCTTCCCTGTGAGTGGAATAGCCATTCCTCCCCTCCCCGGGTCCAGGCCCCACTCGACCCAGTGACGGCTCAGTGGGCTATGCCCTCGGGCCCAGGCTCTGAGAATGCCGTGAGTCCTTGCACCAGCCTCTCGCCTCCCTGTGCCTGGAGCCCCGGCTAAAGGAACACCACGCGGAGCCCATCGCTGCTGCCACCGCCTGCCCAGCCGCCCGCCCACCACTGGCACCTACTTGGCATAGGCCTTCTCCACCAGAGCACACCAGAACTCGTTGCGGGAGTTGGAGTGGCAGTAGATGAGCTGGTTGTTGACCGTGGGCAGCCGGTCATCGATGACCACGTCCACCCACTCCCCGAAGCGCCAGAAGTGGAAGTGGAAGATGCCCGCATAGGCGTCGGGCTTCTCGGGGTCCCACTCCTGCTCCTTCCAGTCTGGGATGACCTGGGTGGGGGCAGTGGAGGCAGGATGGGGACACGGTGAGGGGCACGTATGGCTTCCTGGGGAAAAGGGGGTGCACACCTCCAGGGAATCAGAACTGAAAGGAATACGGGGTTCAAGTCCCATCTCTGCCACGAACCAGTGAGACTTGGGCGAATCCTTCTAGTCTCCGGGCCTGAGGTTCCCATCTCGCCGGGGTGGGAGGCTTCCTTAGGCTCCCTCCCTCTGTTCTAGGATTCCTGCCTCCCTGCAGCCTCCCTGAGACATCTATCCACATCCACCACCAGTTCCTACCCGCTGAATGGCGCCACCATCCACCCACCCAGCCCATGCCAGAGGCTGCAGCCGCGCCGGCCTCCTCGCTTGCCCTCTGCCCTTCCCACCAGGCCGAGCTGAGCTCCTCCATTCTTCTGAAACCTGTCTCTTCCTCTGCATCCCGCAGGCACCACCCGGGCCCAATCTCCCATCTCCTTGCCCCGGGACACTGCACCAGTGTCTGAAGCTACATCTGCCCTTGCCCCACACAGCAGCAGACCAGCCTGATCCTGTCATTCCCCTGGACAATAAGGTCCCAACCCTACTGTGCTCTCCTAGCCTCATTTCTCCACCTCCCCTACGGCAGCCCCCACCCCTCCTCTCTGCTCCAGGCTTTGTCTGGTCAGGAACTCCACACCTGCTCTTCCTCCTCCTCTTCACTCAGCTGACGTCCACTCATCTGCTAGTATCCATCTGCCTCCTCCAGGAAGGCCTCCTTGATCTTCAAAGCAGGCCAGGGCCCCTGGGACTTCTAGTCTGAGAAACTTAGCTTACTGAGTTACAATTAATAGCTGTGTGACGTTGAGCTCAATGTCTGATACTATCACTGGAATGTCACTCACTGTTTCTGAGACAGGGCCACATTGGTCTGGTCACTGCTATACACCCAGCAGCCAGCCCAGGCCTTAGCCCTGGCACAGAGAGTATGCTTAGTAAACACGTGTTGACTAAACAAATAAATTCACAGACATTAACTGGCCTTGGAAGCGCCAGGTCCCGTGCCTGTGACGGCCCTGGATTACCTCCATTTAATCTCACAGCAACCCATGAGTAGATTATTGTTGTCCGTCCCTACTTTACAGACGACAAATTGAGGACCAGGGAGGGCACGTAACTTATCCAGGCCACATAGCTTGAAAATACTTGTGTTCTTTGGAGCCAGGATTCAAACCCAGGTCTGCCTGCCCCCAAAGAGTGAGCTCTTTGGCACTGTGGGCTGCTCTGTGCCCAGCCACACGCGGGACACTGAGGACCCAGATGAATCACACAGTCCCTGCCCTCAAGAGGCTCCCAGTCTGGGAGGGAGGCAGACATAACAGGCAAGTGCCGAGGCTAACGCGGGGCACACACAGGGCGGTGGAGAGAAGGGAGCGGTGGGCCCCGCCCTGGAGGCCAGCAGCACACCCTGAGAGCTGGCAGAGGGCGACCCCCAGGCAGAAGATGACAGACAGAGGCAATCTGGGCAGCAGGAGGTGGGCAGGGACCACACCGAGTCAGGGTGGGTCGGTGACCTGCTGGCCCTGCTGGGCATGGCACCAAGGAGGGCTGATCCCCTTCGAGACCAGAAGCAGCTCCTTCTAGAAGAAAACCACCCAGAGATGGGGTGGGCACCCAGGCTGAGGAGCCAGAGATGCACAGGAGGCCTGCGGCAACCTGAGCGCACAGACTTCCGGCCGGAGAAGTCGCGTTGCTCCCCACCCCCACGCTCATTAAGGATGCTCTTGTTTGCACGCCTCTTACCATCAACGGGGATGTTGGCAATGGGAAACGCTCCCTAGTGGGACATCTGAGACCAAGAAAATGAAAATGCTAACCACAACGAGAGGTAGTACCGCCACTAATGGAGCCCTGCTAGGTGCCAGGCGCAGGGCCAGGCTGATCACTGTGTCGCCCCCAAGCCTCACAACAAGCTCTTGCAGCAACACCACAGGGAGTCACTAGTGGAAGGCTGTCCGTGGGCACAGGTGAGGGAGGCAGGATTCAAACCCATGGCTTCACAGTGTCTGGAACCCAGCAAGGGCTCAAGACCGGCTGATTCCTTTCCCCACCTCCTTGTCATGCTTTGCAGTCACATCTGTGTCCTCTCTAAGTACAGACACCCAGGCCAGCCTCCACGCTGACTCCTAGTGCTCTCTCCCCACTTTTGTTTCAGGACAGAAAGTTGCACCAAAAATGGGCCACGTGCAGGGTGGGGGTTACCATCCCCGCTGCACAGAGGGGAAGTCTGAGGTCCAGAGAGAAGCAAGAAGCTGCCCAGGGGCACAGAGTGACAGGGAGTCCTAGGCTGAGAACTTAGGGCCTGGCCACTGCCTCCGCCACCCTTCTCCCCTCCTGCCCTACTTGGAATGCTCTGGACTGTGCCGGAGGGAGGGAGGACAGCCCTCGCGGGGTGCTGGGAGATGCTGCCGGGGCCTCGGGAGGATCATTAGCCAAACTCAGGGCTTGGCCCTGAGCCCTGTGGGGCTCAAGAAGCAGCTAATGAGACCACAGGGCCTGGAGACGCAGAGTCGGGGGTCCTCAAGGGCCTTAATTTGCCCCCTGCTTCACAGCGCTTGGACCCGGCACGGGGCGGGCCCCAGGCCAGCCTTCTCGCCTCTCAGCCCCTCTGCTGCCAGCCGGGATAGTGAGCGGGAGGCAGGTGTGCTCACACGTGCACACACCCCAGAAACCTCCCACGCCACATCCGGCCGTGCCACAAGTCAAGGAAGCCACAGGCTCCCAGGGCCACGTCAAAGCATTCAGGAGCCAACATGAAGAGGTTCCCGCTGGCGAAAGGTGGGCCAATCTGAGCATCAATAAGGATAATAACTGCAATGGATTGAAACACATCGAATACGTTCAAATTCACAGATCAGAATGATACAAAAACAAACACTTAGTCACTACTGGAGGAGGATAGGGAATCAACTCAGTTTTTTGGAACTGGGAAATTAAAGAATCAAGCATTTCTCCTGTTTTTATAAACTGTCCCAGGGGGTAATCAACTAGCAGGCGAAGGGAAGTCTTTACCTGGAAAAGAATTCCAACCAAGACAGGAAGAAGAAGTGATTAACATTACACCACCACCATTTTGTAACCACTGAAGAATTAATGGATCGAGGGGATGATCACCGATGGCTTTTAACATCAGAAAAGAGAGAGACACCCCGCCATTACCTGCCTCCTGAACAGTCATGTCAACAAGAATTTGTACCTAAACCATACCGGCCCTCTAGAGCTAAGTCCTATTTTACAGCAAACGCAAGGGACAAAGAACATGTTAAACCCCACCAGGAGGATGCAGGCACCAAAATCCAGACAGTGGGGACTCCCAGGGGACAAATGAACCAGTTTCTTCAGTAAATAAGTTGCAAACAAAATAAAATAAAAAGATGAAAGAGCAATCAACCAATTGATACAATGATGGACTTTTGTTTGGATCTCATTCAAACAAGAAAACTGTAAAATGTATGCACATTTATGGCACAAATGGGAAATTAGAACACTTTTTGAGTATTTGATGATACAAGGGAATAACTTTAAAATGTTTCAGTTGTATATTGGTATGGTGGTTATTTTATTTATTTATTTTTTTTGCTGAATCCTTATCTTTCAGAGATGCATCCAGAAATATTTACGGACATGATACGCTGTCTAGGGGAGTGTAGAGGAAATAAGACTGGCCGTGAGGTGACAATTGTTGAGGCCAAGGGCTGGGTACAAGGAGGTTCATTAGGCCGCACCCTCTGCCCTGGTGCTGGCTGTGGCTGAAATACCCATCACCATGGACAACGCAGCCTGGCCTGGCAGCAGACCCTCCCAGCCTCAGCCCTTTGGGACCCATAAGAATCACCAAGACCACCAAACACCTGGGATGCTTCACGCCACCTCACCCCCACGCATGTGGCTCCCTCTGCCCGCGCCGGTCCCCTTCCCTTGCCCCTCAGAGGTTCGCTGAGCAGCAGCTCCCAGGGGCCTCCCTGCCAAGCCCCCTGCCCTGAGCACCATGGGGCAGCCCCTTCTCTTTTCCCTGCTCACTGGAGGAGTTCCTGGGGCGGGGAGCAAGTTGGACTCATCCCCAGATCCCAGCACCCAGTGCTGGGCCTGGCCCAGCTCCAAAGCTGGCTAGAGTAGTTCTGGGAGGAAAATCCCCATTGCTGGTCACAGTATAGCCCCTGACCAGCCAGTGACCTGTACACACTACTTAATACCACATTACCAACCGTGATGGGTGACAGGGACTTAAGTTTTGACTGGGCCACCTCTCTGAGTCTCAGTTTTCTCATCTACCTACCCTACCTTCAGGACTTTTATGAGGACTAAAGTAGATGGCCTTGGAGGTACTTCATAAACTGTAGAGGGCTGTGCACAGGCAAGGGGTCATCTATGCATTCACACAATATTCTGAAAACCTCAGGGTTGGGAGGGAGCTGAGATGACCTGGTCAACCTCCTTCCCAAGAGGAGGAAGGAAAATCTCAGCATGTGCTTGGCTCACTTACTCGGGCTGACCCGGCAGCAGTGCAAGGACGGTGTGGGGTTTGGAGCCTCCCTCACACCCCCCTGGGATGTGATCCACTAATGGCCACCCACAGCAGAATGGGCCCAGAAACCTCAGGGCCCCTCGGACAGGCACGCCTCAGCACCCCTGGTCTCCCCGGCTCCTGGGTTTTCCCTGGGGGCTCCCACATGGACCCAAGTGGCCAAGTTCAAACCCTCCTGGGGCCGTGGCAGACAGGATTCTGCCCAGCAGTGTGCAACAGAGAGGAGAGGGCAGCACTGCTCGGGACCTGCGTGCGAGAGCGTGCGAGCGAGAGCGTGCGTGTGTGGACGTGGGGCACAGGAGGGCTTTTCCAATTTCTGCCTGGGGGCCAGGCGCGGTGGCTCACACCTATAATCCTAGCACTCTGGGAGGCTGAGGCGGGAGGATAGCTTGAGGTCAGGAGTTCAAGACCATCCTGAGCAAGAGTGAGACCCTGTCTCTACTAAAAATGGAAAAATTAGCCGGGCATGGTGGTGAGCACCTATAGTCCCTGCTACTCGGGAGGCTGAGGCAGGAGGATCGCTTGAGCCCAGGAGTTTGAGGTTGCTGTGAGCTAGGCTGACACCATGGTACTCTAGCCCAGCTGACACAATGAGACTCCATCTCAAAAAAAAAAATTTCTGCCTGGGAACCCAGAGAGGCCAGCTCGAAACCTTTCTGAACCACGAGGGCGGGGCTGCGGAATGAGGGCCTACAGTGGGTTTCCTGTGTCACCCGAGTTGGGTGAGGTGAGCCACAAGGACTTTATGGTCCTCAAAACTAGTGTGTCCTTGGTTCCGAGTCTCTGAGATTCCTCAGTTCTCAGCTTATAATTCAAGGAGTCTCAAATGTCAGATGCTGTGACTGGAAGAGGCCAGGAAGGCCTTGGGCCAGCCCTGCTGCCTTGCGGGAGCAGAGCCCTGCTGCTCACCACCGGGCACCAGGGCGCCTGACTCGCTGCAGAGGGGCGCTGTGAGAGACTGGGGCAGGGGCCCCGCCTTGGGGCAGGCGCCCTCCTCCTGGGCCTCCGGCCCCGCAGCTGTGATGTGAGGGCTAAAGGTCCCCTCCGAGGGGCCATCCTGATCCTGGTGACGGTGGTGGAGGGGAATGCATGCCCACACGACTGTTTTCCTGGACCACAGAGCCGGGCCTGGCAGCTGCCCATCCCTGCACTCCACACCACCTGCTGCCATAGCACTGGCCTGCTGTGTCACCTCAGGCAACTCACTTCACCTCTCTGAACCTTGCATTCCTCCTCAGTGAACAGGTTCTCCTAGCCAGTCCCTCTCTTCTCAGAATAACTGTAAAAAGTAAGTGAGACCATGTTTCTGTGGTGACCAGGCAGTAATGATGAATGAACCCAGAGAGAGTGCCCGTGTGTCGGCTTTTTTTTTTTTTTTGAGACAGAGTCTCGCTCTGTTGCCCTGGCTAGAGTGAGTGCCGTGGCGTCAGCCCAGCTCACAGCAACCTCAGACTCCTGGGCTCAAGCAATTCTACTGCCTCAGCCTCCCAAGTAGCTGGGACTACAGGCATGCGCCACCATGCCCGGCTAATTTTTTCTATATACTTTTAGTTGTCCGATTAATTTCTTTCTACTTTTAGTAGAGACGGGGTCTCGCTCTTGCTCAGGCTGGTCTCAAACTCTTGACCTTGAGCGATCTGCCCGCCTCGGCCTCCCAGAGTGCTAGGATTACAGGCGTGAGCCACCGCGCCCGGCCCTGTGTGCTGGCTTTGAGAAGCTTGGCCTTTACTCACATTAACCCATCTGATCTTCACAACAGCCCCATGAGGGAGGCACCACCATTAGCCCCAACTCACAGATGAGGAAAGAGGCTCCAAGGTCGCCCAGGGTCACACAGCTGGGTGGGACGGAGGGGCTGGGTCCCTCACCCCCACACTACGCTGCCTCTCTGGGGGCAGAGTTCAGGAAATGGGGCCGGTCTCTTCACCTTGTGGTTCATTTCCCCTTCCCTGCACTCTGGGGACAAGGCCAGGCCCCTTTTGCTATCTGAGGGGAGGGAGGGCTGGGTCCTCTGTCTGGACCCCGAACCCTACCCCAGGCACCTCCAGGCAAGCTTGGGAGGGGAGTGTCGGGGAGCGGAGACTCCTGAGAAACAGCGTGCAGGCTGGGAAGGTTCTTTGGATGCCACGAGGGGCTGTGCAGGGGAAAGAAAACATGGCGGCAGCGGCTGCTCTGCAGGGCTGTGAGGCCTGGCTGGGCCGGGGCTTTTGAAGCAAGGCTCATCCCAAGCAAAACCACAAGTTCGGCCTTTAAAGCAGGGATCCACCCTGGTCTCCAGGGAGGACGCTGCCTAGCCTGGGCCCTCAGGTGGGGTGGGGACATGTCGCAGGCCCACTGGCCCAGAGCCTGGTCCACTCACACCCCGAGCTCAGCCCCTCCTTCCCCTCTGTGTAGAGCGGGGGAGAAGGACCACGGGGCACCAAGGGGACCGTGGCCTGGGGCTGCATCAGTGCCAACATAGCCCCATCCGGTCATGGGTTTAATAATCCCAGAGGGCAGGCTGGGAGGAACTTCACAGAACCTGACTGTTCCCTCTGCAAATTCTGAGGCTGGGAGAGGGCCAGGGGCTACCTAAGGACATACAGCAACTTGGTGACGGAGGCCAGACTAACCCCGGACACAGTCCCAGCCCCACCCACCCCGGGGCTACTGCTGCTCCACCTGCCCCCAGCCCTGCCACCCTCTGGGGAGAGAGACTCCAGACCGAGCTCGGCGCCTTCCCACCCCACCACCCGCGGTGACAGAGCCCAGACAGCACCTCCCCGTGGCCTCAGCAAGGCTCTCTCCACAGAGAGGCAGGTCTGGGGCTATGGAGAAACAGGGGTGGTGGCTCCTGGCTGGGCGTCGGGAGACCTGCAAAACCCATTCCGGGCCTTGACAGGCCACCTGACAATTCTGGGTCTCATCCCTGAAAGCTGGTGGGAGGAGGAGTGGGGAGTGTGGGAAAAAGCCCAGGGAGGGGCTCAGGGCCAGAAGGGCAGGCGCCAGGCAGGGCTCCTGGCAGGGTGGGGTGGTGGGGTTGGGGTGATCGTGGCGAGAGACTGCACACCACCAAGGCGAGGGCACACGGGCTTTATTGGAGACCTGCAGCAGGGACAGCAGAGGCACCCGGCCCCGCAGGGCAGATGGGGTGGGGCAGCATGGGGGACAGGTAGTCTGGATTAAGAGGGTCCTCAGAGCTGCAGGGAGAGATCAAACAAAGTGGCAGAAGGCAGGCCACTGCCCATGGGCTGGCTCCCGAAGTCATCGGCAGAGAACAAGGCAGGCAGCCGTGGGACTCCAGGCACGTCCCAGAACAGGCCCCAGAGCTGTGAACTGAGCAAGGACCAGAGCTGCCCCACAGCCAACCTCTCCCATCAACAGAACCTCCTCGTGCGCCCCCAAGGTGGGGGCTTGCCCTCCCAACAGCCCCAGCTCCAGCCCTCAGTGCCACTGTGCCCAGGGCCTAGGTTCCCCCACTGGCTCTGCTTCCTGACAGCAAATGTTGTGGGCACGTCACTGGGTGGCCAGGAGAAAGGGTGGTGGGGGCACTTGCTGAGGTGCCCTTGGCTGATGCCAGGTGGCAGGTCAGGCCCCCCTGGGCCCGTGCAGTGTGGAGGGGAATGCGGCTTGGGACCAGAACTGAGCCTACTGGTAACTGCCGCACTCTCCCCGTCCGGAGAGTGGGTTGCACCTGACGACCGCACAGGCTTGTGTTCTGCCGTCACCCCACTGCCACCTGCAGCCACTTCCGACCATCAGCCATCATAACGGCGTGCCAGGCCTCCCCTGCTGCAGCCCCCCAGCTCCACTAAAGAGGCCCAAGATGCCAACAGATGTTTCAGGATGAGACACTCGCCGGCCCTGACCTATGAGCTCAAAACAGCCTGGCTTCCCAGCAGGGGACACCGAGGCCCCAGGGAATCCATTGTGTCCAACTGCTGGGCCCTGGACCCCTCTACCCAGCTTTCCCCAGGCAGAGGGAAACCCCTTTACTAAACTGTTCCCTGCTTCACTACACGAACCTCAGCGTCTCCTAGCTCAGGAAGCCTCCCCACCAAGGTCATCAGGACCCAGCCCCTGCTAAGAGCCACCCTTGAACCAGCAGCAATTAGACAACAGATAACCTAAAATCAGACTTGTTTGTAGGGCAGGTATAGACTTCTAGAATACATCCATGTGAATACAGCATGCTCTCTCTCAATACGTATGTATACGCACAGGCAGATCTGTGTGACCCTTCATCGTCCCCCCTCCACTTTGTCCCCAAAGCCATGCCCCGGAGAGCCAGAGCTGGGCCTGCACAGCCTCCTGGGAGCCAGCCACTCCCCACTGCCCCAACCCACCCCACAGCAACCCTGCCCCACGTCCTGAGGGCGGCCAAGGCATCATGGGACCACACGGGAATGGTGCCAGGAGCAGCGCCTTCCGGGGGCCCCAGGCTGGTGTTGACCTCCAGACACGGGCCTTCGCAAAGGGCGCTGTGGCCAGGTGGGCAGCAAGTGCTGCTCTCTGCAGTCTCCAGCGAGGCTGCTCCCATCATCTCTGTTGCCCCATCTCTGGAGGAAGATGGGCGGCTGGTTCTTTGGATCTGTCTCTCTCTCTCTCTCTCTCTCTCTCTCTCTCTCTCTCTCTCTGTCTCTTTTGGTCTCTCTCAGTCTCTCTCCCCGACAATGAGGCAGAGAAGGCAGATGCCAATGGCCTCCCCATCTGCCACACCAGCCCCGACCAGGCCTCTAAAGTCTACAGCAGCAGCAGCGGCGGCCAGTCCAGCTTCTAGACTATGGAGCCTGGGACTCTTCCTCCTGTGAGCCGGAGCGCTGGCACCAGGGAAAAGGAGAGAAGGAAGGATGTGGGACTCAGGGGGCCTTGGGCCAAGCTGAGTACAGGCTGAGCAGCTAGAAGAAGGTCCCCCAAAACACACGTGGGGACAGGAGGTACAGGCAGGGGGAGGGCAGGTGGGTGAGAGGAGGGGTGGCAGCGGGCAGCTGCCATCAGAGCTGGTTAAAAACCACGGAGACCTTGAGGTTGGCGGGCTCCACCCCCTCGCCAAAGGTGATGAGGAAGTACATGACCTTGCGGACCTTGGCCAGATCCGACAGACGCTCCCCAAACTCCAGGGCGTCAGCCTCGTTACATTCCATGACTTCCGAGTCCTCCTTGCGCCAGAAGATGGCCGCGGGGTCCAGCAGCTGGCGCGTCATGAGGTTAGTGAGGTCGGGCGTCCAGTTCTGCGAGGTGCCCGTGATGGTGACCTTGCCTGGCTTGTCCAGCACGACGTTCCAGTGCTCGAACTGCAGCTTCTGCTGCTGGATGAAGTCCAGGCGGTACACGGACTCGGCCGGCCGCAGCAGCTTCTCGCCGTCTTGGCGCTTCTCCCCGCGCTGCTTCAGGCTCTCCACGCGCAGCCGCATCTGCCTGGTCAGGTACTCATCCAGGACCAGCGGCATGTCCAGCTGTGGCTGCTGCGGCCCGTCCTCCGCCATGGCCCAAGTGCTGCTGCTGCTGCTGCTCCCGCCGACGTCAAGGAGCCAAATAGGCTGGGGCCTCGGCGGCCAAGAGAAGAGGCCACCAAAGGGGGGCCCCGCCTACCCTTCCACCCTCCCCTCGTGTCCTCCCCTCCCCAACCCTGTTCTCAAAACAGGGTGTGTGGGGGTGAGGAGTCCCCACCTGCCGCCTCTCCACTCCTGCAGGAGCGAGAATGCAGGCACTGCAGGCAGGCGGGAGGTGGCGGGCTCCACAGGGACCAGACCGCTGATGTCAACTGCTGTGGCAACCACCCTGACTACCAGGGACGGCTGGGAGCACGTCACATGGGCAGTGTCGGGAACGGCGGAGGGGAGCACGCGCTCACTGCAGGGACATAGGCCAAAGACCCATGGGCATGGGAGAGCACGGGCCAGAGAGGGCTCTCCCGATTTGAGATCCGAAGTCACCCAAGGCAACCATGGAGCCTCCCTTGCCTCCTCCACACCCAATCGCCAAGGCCTGTCGATTCTGCTTCCCAAATAGCCTGGAACCTTCTCCTGCATTCCCACTGCCAGGACCTCAGCCCAGCCGCCATCATCTCTCACCTAGACCCCTGCTCCTCAGACTTGAGTGAGCGCCAGATTCACCTGCAGGACTTGAGACACAGATTGCTGGGCCGTCCCAGAGCTCTTGATTTAGCAGGTCTCTGACCAGCCCAGCATCTGCATTTCTAACAACCTCCCAGGTGACACTCATGCTGCGGCCTGGGGCTGTGCTGAGAGTCACTGACCTAGAGGAGTCTGGCCTGCTGGCCCTGCCTCAGCACGAGCCATGGCAGCCACGAGACCAGGTTTCACTTCTGCTAAAATCCCACCACTCATTCCCCCTGCATTGATCTTCAGTGTCCCCCAGGGGGCCTGGGGCCAAGGAAGAATCTGGCAAAGTCTCTATCGCGCCTGAGGTGGAACCAGGAGCTTGGCTATTATAAATGGGCAAATGGAAGAACTGGAGTGTGTGAGTGTAACTGGGGGGATGGGGGAGAAGGGCCTCTGCCACAACATGCCACACTCAGAAAAGAGGACAGAGTCACAGGCCAAGGTGTAACAACTGAAAACAATCTGAAGGGTCAAGTGGACCACAAGCACAGTCAATTGCTAGATGGAGGCTAAGTAAATCAGTGGGATCTTGGGCGACATAAACAGCAGGGGTGCCTAGGGAGACAGAGCACCTGGCCCTGTTGAAACAACACCCCAAGCCCTGGGGTCAGTTCTGGTGGCCACTGGCAGCAATTCCCCAAGAGTGTTAGAGAGAACCACACAGCTGCATGTTAAACTGCCTGACCCTCACAAAACCTTTTACTTTGCAGCTGCAGGGGCAGAGAGAGAACAACTTGGCTGAGGAGCTACGGTGGGGGGCTTCCCGTTCCTCCCTAAGGAGGAGCTGTTTCTACCCTTCCTAGCACTGCATTTTGATTTTCATTTGTATGTGTGCTTAGTTTTTGCCTGAGAGGGCAGGCACTGTGTCTTGTCCATCACTCTAAGCCAGCACCCAGAACAGGCCTTGCCACGCAGGGGGCCTCAGAGATGCTTGCTGGATGAATGAACGGACGACTGACAAGGGGACAGGTGATGTGATGGACCACGGGGCCCAAGGACAACAGAGGAAGGTGGGCAGGTGGGGAGACAGCACATGGGCACTGGCTGGGGCCAAAATGAGGTTTAGGGACAGGTGTGTCAGGGCTGGGGAGTGAGCGAGAGGCCTGGAAGGTGAGGTCAGAGAGGTGAAGCTGTTGCAGCAAGTGACGGAGGTGGCTGAAGGTGAAGGCTGATGGAGATGAGACCAAGAACTGAGACCACGCTAACAGGGGACGGGGGAAAGAGGGCAGACACACAGACACAGTAAACCTGGGAGACAGCAGTACCTGGAGCAGAAAAGGCTGGGAAAGCGGAGGTGCCAGGCCCTCTGGGCCTGGGTGACTGGCTGGGGCCGCCGGTTGGCAGGGATGGCACTGCAGTGGGCTGGGGGGGCCAAGAGGCATGCAGGAGCCAGGCAAATGCGTGAGGGAGTCACGTCTGGAAGCAGCACTGGGGAAGGGGACCCCCTATGACTGGACCCCTAGGGAAAAGGACCGAGGACACGGGGCCCCTGGGGAGCGCCTGGTCTCACCAGGGCAGAGGGGCACCGACCAGCAGGTCTGGGCGGCTTCAAATCCTGTATGCACCAGCCCCAGGCGGCCTCAAGGACTGGGGTAAAGGTGGCTTCCCAGAGGGGCACGTGTGCTGAGGTGTGGTGGCCCTGAGTCTGAAGCTCAGTGCCCCCAAAGTAGGGGTGGTGAGGGCGGGGCAGGGGTGCTGAGCAGCCCCCTAGTTGCCCTTCCATGGAGAAAACAGGGCGGGGCAGGGAGGCCCTGCAGGGCAACAGGCCCACAAGGCGAGGGGTGACAACAAACAGGGACGCCAGCAGGGACAGAAGAGGAGGTAAGGCATGGTAATGAGCCCCCCAGGGGCTATGGCCACAGCAGCACAGGAGGCAGAGTGCAATTAGCTGAGAACACTCAGCCCCCGGGGACTCAAGCTGCTGGAGACCAGCCAGGCCAGGTGCCCCCACGCCCTGCAGTAGGAACCTTTGGCCCAGAGATACACACAGGCCTGCCCAAGGTGGCACCGCATCAGTGACAAGCCTCCCGCCTGCGAGTCCTGGGCCCCTCTCCCACTGGCCAGCTGGGGAGCTGCATAGACCTGCCTGGGGCCAGGCCCGGGCGGGACTCACAGCCAGCTGAGGGGCCCACCTCCAAGTGATCGGCCGGCCCATTCCCAGGACAGGACCCAGTGTGGTCAGGCCCAGCCCCACTGAAGGCCCCAGGAGCTCCGGGGCGACAAGGACAACTGTGGAGCTGGTTAGCAGCGGGCCCCGACAATTTGGGGAGGAGCTCGCTGCATACCCCAAACTCTCCAGAGCCTTCTCCGTGCCAAGTCCCCACTGGGCTCAGCAGGAAGATATAAGCTGGGCCGGCTCTGCCCATGTGGAGCTCACCTCGAGAGGGGAGACGACAGATAAACAGGCAATTACAGGGCAGGGCAGGAAGTGGGGGGCCCACCTGCAGGACTCCCAGGCGCCCTCTGGCCCCAGACTGAGCCCTGACCTAGCTGGGGCTGGAGCTCTGAGGCAGGACTCGGAGAATGGGGTCACAGCCTGGAAGCTGGGGAGCGGGGACCGGTCCCACACTGGGAGAACGGTGCCATGCCCTGACCCTCTCTGGTCCTCGGGGCCCATGAGTGACATGATCCCACACATGGCTCTCTGCGGCCCTTCCAGCTCAGACGCCCAGGAGTACCCACGTCTACAGGTTGCCACAGTGGCCTCTGCTGAGGCCCCGAGGGCCCTATAGCCAGCCCCAGGGATGCCCACCCTGGGTGCCTTTCAGAGGTCACACGCCTGCTGAGGAGACGTGAGCGCAGGGCACCTACCACAGCCCCGGCCTCCGCGGAGGGCACAGCTCCCTCTGATGGATGGGGGACACCTCGAGGACGAGGAAAACCTCACTCTGCCCCTGTGCCCTGCTTGCACAGGATACTCGCGTGTTCTACAAACGCTAGTCATCACAATGCTGGCGCCATTTGCTGAGTACACCGCACAAAGCGCTTTAAGTAGAGTCTCCTGTTTCACCCTCCCCACTCCCCGAGAGACAGCTACTCTGATCCTCCTAACATTGCAGTGGAGTAACCTGAGGCCAGTTACAAAGCTACCAAGTGGTGAGGTTGGCGCTCAAACCTGAGCCTGGGACTCTCACCAGCGCTCTCAAGGCCCAATGCCAGCCCCTTTCCAGGGAGAGCAGGAAGGGACCAGGGGTGAGGAAGGGGCAGCACCTGTGTCTCGCCCTGCTGTCCCTGCCCGTGATTCCTCAGAGAGCCAGGGTCTGGCTCCACTGCAGCCTCCGCCTCCCGCCTCCCCAGAAAGGGAGCACTGAGCATCAGATTTAAGGGCCGCACTGCCCAGTGCTGCCACAGGAGGACAAACTGGCAGGACCAGAGCCCATTCTTTCCAATTCAAGCTCTTCGGCCCTGGTCCGGAACGCCAGCAGCTTGCAACCAGGAATTATGAAGCCGGGCATGGTCCGAACCACCCCTGCTGAACAGCTAAGCAAAGTGAGGCCCAGAGAAGGGCAGCGACTGCCCCAAGTCACACAGCAGGTTACTGGCAGGGGTCTCCTGAGCCTCCTTAGTGGTGTCTCCACACTGTAGGCAGCTTCCGCATTTTACAAGGGTGTGTTCCACCAAGTGGCTCAGGGACACTACGGGTCCCCAACAGCGGGAAGGGGATGCATCGGAATCACCTTGGGAGCTGCACAGATTCCAGCACCTGCCCCCAGGACCTCCAGCTGGTGGGGGAAGGAAGGCAACCCTGACGCTCGGCCAGTGCCGGGGCCCCAGCGTCACCCCTACCCCATCCCTGGCACTGGCTTTCGGAAAGCCTCATCTGCCGCGTTCAGGCTGCACCTGTCTGACAGTGAGGGCCGCAGACTACGTCAACACCCCCGCTCCCCCAGCCCACCCTGTCCCAGGCCTCACCTTTTGCCATAGCGAATCCCGGGAGGCGAGTGACGAACAAGCTGCCACAAACCAGCAGTTGCCCACCTGGCCCTGGTGCAGGTCATGGGAGCTGATGCCATCCACAAAGAGGCGGGGGTCCTCGCAGACGTCCTGCGGGGAAGGCGAGGGGAGAACGTGAGGGACCGAGGAGCACAAGGATGCCTGCCATGGCAGAAAGGAGACCTCATTGTCACCCTAGAAATTCATCTGCCTCCCCCGCAGACTGGGGGGCCCCAGGTGGCCTGTCTGCTCCCCCAGGACCTGCCTGGAATGCCCCCTCCCCTTCCCTGGCTGGAGGGCACTCTTCTGCCAAAGGTTTGCTGGCGGATGAACGCTGTGGAAGGACCCCAGCGCCACCTTCCTCCTGCCCTCTGTGCCCCCCACCAGCAAGGGCTCAGTCCCCTTCACTCTCCTGCACCCACAGCCCGCAGTGCCCACCTGGGCAGCCCGCGGGCCCAGTCATGAGGAAGTGGTGTGGGGGTGCAGGGATGAGACAAACACCAAAGTCACACATGATGGGCACTAAGTGAGGGGAGGGCAGGGAGCTGACAGGCCAGGCCCCTTGTGGTACTTCCCGCCTGCGGTCTCAGGAGATCCTCACGCTGCCGGAGGAGCATGGGGCTGGCTGTCATTCCATTGTGTGGATGAGGAATGGAAGTTCAGAGAGGGGCAGTGACTTGTCAAAGACACACAGCAAGCAATGCCTGAGTGGGGCAGAAACTCCTTCTTTTCGGTTTTCCACAGAGACTGGCGGGCGCAGCCAGAGGGGCTGCTCCAGGGAACTGGGCTGGGGCAGCCGCCGGGCAGGGAAGTGAGTCATGCCCAACTGGCAGCTCGCAGGCCCAGCCCTTCCTAATTTGTGGGAGCTCCTTACTCTGTCCGCTGGGAGAGAGCCAGCCTGGGTGGGTCCCAGGACCACCACCCTCTGCACCTGACCCGCCCAAGGCACTCAGGCCTGGGCTTCCACCTCTTGGTGCTTTGGGTTTTTTCCCTTAAACACCCTCCTCCCCCACCAAGGCAGTGCTGCGAGTGGGAAAAGCATGGCCTTTGGCTTCAGATTGGAGACTGAATTCCCGCTCCTCACTCTACAATTGGCCTGAGTCTCAGCTTTTTCATCTATAAAACGGGAACAATAATCCCTACTTGGCAAGCAATCAGTACATGCAAAGTGCCAAGCTCAGGGCCTGACACAAAGAGAATGAAAGTCTGTTTAAATTTTCAGGTGCCAGGATGCTGTGCCCAGACCTATATGGGTAGCTCCAGCACCAAGAGACAAGACCAGGTAGGGCTGCTTACCCTGTGTTCCCACAGCTGTTAACATCCCACCCACAGGCTGAGCCTGGGCGGGTTAGATCTCTAGGAAGCAGAGAGTGCTTGGCACGGCCCCCGGCCCTGGCCGGGAGAGCAGAGCCATGCAGACACCTCCAGAGCCCTCAGCTGCCTGCCTGTGCCTCATGTGGGCCCAATGGCCAGGCTGGTGCCTTCCCCCTGCCCAGTCCAGGACTCAGCTTGTGACGTACATGTGCCACCGGTGTCTAGCAGGCCCCTCTCCTCTCCCATCAGCATCTTCACTCCACCAAGCTGAGAGGGAGCAACTGCTCACCAAGGCGGGGATGCAGTGGAGGGTGGGGGAGGCAAACACTGAGACGTGCCTTCCATGTACCAGGCATCCTGCTGGCACCACAGTCCATCCTCACCATGGCACTGAGAGGTGGGCAAGATGCCCATTTTACAGATGAGGAAACTGAAGCCCAGAGAAGTTGAACGCCATGCCCCAACCACACAGCACGAGCAGGAGGGCAGCAGCTCTCTGCCTGGCTCCACTTCAGCAGGTGCTCCTGAGCTAGTTCAAGCACAAGAGCTCTGAGGTCCCAGTGTGAGCAGCCAGCAGAGGGCGGCAGAGGCAGGAAGATGGAACCTGAATTCCTGCTCCCAGTTTACTGGCTGTGCGAACTTTGGACCTCCGTTTCCTGCCTGTGTGCAACAGAGATGAACGGTCATCCCTGCAGGGCTGTGTGGGGACCCCACAAGTCATGGCAAGGGAAATGGGACAAAGGGCCCTCAGTCCCCCTGAGGTGTCCGGGACTCCTGCTGCCCCTGTGCCCAGAAAACGGGCCAGAACCCCCCCCCCCCCAGGGCAGGAGCGGCCCCTTCCAGGTGGCATTGCAGCACGACCCAGGGCCCGGCTGCAAGGCAGCTTCCCCAGGGCACAAGCCTGGGCAACCCAGTGAGGCCACCTGCTCTCACCCTGTCCCCGGGGCACCCTCTCAGGAGCCACAGCCGGGAAGAAGGGTCTTGCCCCTCATCTTATCTCCTAGCCCTGCCCACACCCAGCCCAGCCCTCCAACCAGAGTGAACTGTCCTATCTGCTGCTTCTCTAAGGCCCCGAGGGCAGGCAGGACGGGGCGGGAGGGGGGCTTTGATATCTGGAAGACCCCAGCCACATCCTGCCACGGGAAGAGAGACGGCCACCACCTGGTGTCAACAGGGTCTGCAGCGGAAGGTGACTCCAAGATGTCCCTCCACTTCAGATCCTCGCAGCCAGTGCCCTGTGACACAGATGTGACTGCCCCATTCCACAGAGAAGGAGGCTGAGTCCAGGAGGGGCAGTGACATCCAAGGTCACAAGGCAAACAAATGAATGGGACAGAACCCAGGTCTGCCAGTCTCCCGCCCAGGGCTCCTCCCCACTGAGCAGCAGGCCGGGGCAGACCTGTGGGGCAGATCCGACCATCCCAGCCTGGCCCTGACGCCCAGGACAGGGCTCTGGCCCAGACACTGCTCCAGCCCTTAACAGAAACGAGGCCAGGGATTCCAGGATTCCACTCCCCTGACTTGCTGTGGCAGAGTGGGGACCTGCAGGTGGTCGGGCAGCCTGGGAGGGAGCAGGTGGAGGAGGAGGCGGCTAAAGTATGTCCCCACTGCCAGGAGAAGCTCAGGGTTACCAGCTCTAACCTAGAGAAACCGCCTGAGGTTGATGGCACCTGGGGTCTGCCCCGGAATGCAGAGGCCACCTTGGGGCACCTCTAAAGGAACAACCACAGAAACAGACCACAATGACTGGGCACCAGCTGTGTCGTAGGCACTGTGCAAAACAGCCCTGGGAGACAGGTACTGTTAGCAGCCCCTTTTTACAGAGGAGGAAAGCAAGGCACAGAGAGGTTAAGTCACTTGCCCAGGGCCACACAGGAAGAGGTGAACTGAAATTCCAACTCAGGCAGTCCAGCTCCAGACCCTGCAGGTAAGCTAGGTTTTATGGGTGACAAAGCCACCCTTCCTTCACCTGTCTCCCGACACCTGTCCTAAGCCCAGCAATGGGACCAAGGGGTCAGGGGAGCCCAGGCCCTCACTCCTGCCACCAAGAAGCCAGGCTTCTCAAGACCAGTGTTTACCCTTCTGCCATTGGCTGGACATGGGCCACAGATTGAGCTAGGGAAGGTCCCTGCCCACAGGCAGGACCCTTGAGAAGGAACCAGACCCCAACACCCTTCATGTGAGCAGAACTGGGACAACAGGGGCCAGAGAGAGGTCAGAGGAGGATGTCCGGAGGTGGTGACGGGCACAGCAGGCATGGAGAGGGCTGGGAGGCAGGAGGCTCAGGAGGGGGATATGTCGTAAGACGGGGTCTAGCCACAGCCGCAAGACAGTAGCTGCTTCTGACACGGCCCTCTGGGCGCCCAGCCTCCTATGCACCCTTCCATCCCCGTCCACGCTAGGTTTGCCTTTGGGTCTCCCGCACCAGCATGGGAGCTCCAAGGCAGTGTCCACGCCCAACTCTGCCCCCATCCACGGTTATCAAAGCTTGGCAGGTTCCACTGGAGCCGCAGACAGTTCCCCGGGAGGAGGGAGGACAAAGTGACACGCAGGATTGGACTGGGTGGAGGCCATCCCTGAGGGCTGGAGTTGACCACTTCCTGGTCAACATGCCTTCAGGGCACGGCCTTCTGGCACCTGCAGTCACCTCTCCCCTCCTCAGCCCTCCCACCGGTGACACCAGCTCCACCAGATGCAGGCCACAGCCCAAACCTCCCTGGCTGGCACAACAAGAATTTCAGGTTTCCAGTCCTGGTGCACAAGGCAGCAGGTGGGAGTACGGCCCGGGCTGCAGCTGCACAGGCTCCTTCCACCCCGCACCCCCTTCCTTTACATCCACCGTCGCCCAGTCACCTCCTTCCTGGAATGGAAGATCACAGAAGGAATCAACTAGGCAGCTGGGGAAACTGAGGCCCAGACAGAAGGACTTCAGCCTGGGATGGGCTAGGGCAGTGTTCTCAGGAGTTACAGCTTGCGGCCCGCCCCCTCTGCCACAGACGCCTTCCAGCCCTGCCCCCATCTCCTCCCATGGCAGTCCCCACCCTTCTAGGCCACCTCCTCTGGAAGTCTTCCCTGACCCCACTGAACTCTGTCTCTGAGTACATGCCTGGAAGGGGGCCATTCCTGGGCAGGGCAGAGGCCCGGATGGCTGGGTGTGCCCCCAGCTGCCAGCCCTCACCGCACACTGCCTGCTTTGCGGCATGGAAAGGCCTAACACAGAGCGCAGCTGAGTAGCGGAGTGGGTGGGCATGGGGCCCACCAGGCTGCCTTGGGAGAAATCTGGGAGGTTCCAGAATTGATGTGTGTTCATAGGACCCCCTGTCCCCCACTTGTGCCCCCTGTATTCCACCAGAGGGCCTCCAGGCTGATGTCTAAGCATGGGCGAGGCAGAGTGCTGGATGGGGGCACACTCTGCCCCCATGGGGTGAAGGAGCCCTGGGCCTGAGGAAGAGGAAGGTCTTATCTCCCTGACCAGGCCCGCAGGCCCCAGCGGGAGGTGACAGACGCTTACTGTACTGGAAAGAACAAAAAACGACGAGCCTTTCAGGGCAGGGGTGTCAGCCCAAGGCAGGTGCCCTGGGTGGGGATGAAGAGAACAAGGCCTACTGCCACCTGCAGAGTCCACAGGAGACGAGATGTCCCACACAGGGCGGCTCTGGGTCCCCAACACAGGGTTGGCAAGGAGAAGGTGGGCAAGAGGAACCATGATCACCAAGAATTGCTCTCCCCTGGGAGAACAAGGCAGGAGGGTTGCTTGAGGCCAAGAGTTTGAGACCAGCCTGGGCAACACAGTGAAACCCCATCTCTATAAAAAATAAAAATACTAGCCGGGCATTGTGATTCATGCCTGTAGTCCCAAATACTCGGGAGACTGAGGCAGGAGGATCACTTGAGCCCAGGAGTTGGAGTTGCAGTGAGCTATGATGACACCACTGCACTCCAGCCTGGGCAACAGAGCGAGACTCTGTCTTAAAAAAAAAAAAAAGTACTCTCCCTAATTACAGATGAGGAAACTGAGGTCCAAGTAGGAGGAGCAAGAGACAAAGACCACCTCAGAGAGAAGGAGCTGGAGGGGAGGGCAGTGCAGGAGGCTTCCTCTGGGCTGAAGAAAAGGCTGGCTTCCTGCTCTATTTGTAAACAGTCATGTTATAGGACCCAGGAAGTGAAACTTCATACAAACACGGCTGCCTCAGGCCAAAGTTTCACCTTCCCGGGCCGGTCAGGCAGCTGGGAGTTAATGATCACCCTGCTGGGCTGGGCCTGCCCACCGCAGACCGCAGACCGGGCTTGACTTCCTGCTCCTGGGACCCAGCAGGCGCTGCCTACACACATGGTTTCCCCGCAGAGTCACCTCCTCGCCCACCGCAGTTTGACCCGTGCCTGGCTTTGAAGTGCCCCAACCGAGTTGGCCGCCTAATGCTGCCCTTGGGCCCCACAGCCGTGGCAACACCAACCACCACACGCTGTCTGCCTCCTGCCTCCACGTGCAAGGTTCTGCGGTCTGGAAAGGGCAGGGCACCGCGAGGAAGGCAGCGAAGGTGGTGTGGCAGGACACCGAGAGCGCAGCTGACTCCAGTGGGTCACATAGCAGGGCAGTCTGAGCCGGCCAGCCTGGCATTTCCTCCTCTCACCGCAACAAGCCCAGCCTGCCCCAGTCGGGCCTCACCAGCCTCCTTCTAGAGCCACAGACCTAAAATGTCTGGGTGATGGCCGGAGGGCAGGACAGGGTCAGGATGGGGACAGCAAGGGGTGCAGCTAGAGGAGGGCAGAGAGCTCCAGTGTCCACCCCTCCTCCCCGCACCCAAGGCCTCACAAAGGCCCTTTGAGGCCAGCCTCCTCCCCCACCCACTGGACAAAGGAGAGGGAGGAAGGCGTGGGAGGGCGCCCAACAGGCAGAGCTCTGTGGCCAGGCCGGGAGGCGCCCAGGCGTCCCGCACAGCCAACGTAGGGGCCCGGACTCTGTTGCACTCTTGGGGCTGAGCTCGCAGGCACCAAGGACCCTTTATTTGGTGTCAGCGAGGTGGGGCCCAGGGAGGCAGGACCCGTGGGTCTAGTCTACCCCTGCTAGCAGCTCCCTGGGCGATCAGGGCACGTAGCTTCCCCTCTCGGCCTCAGTTTCTCTACCCATCTAGAGTCCCAACTTAAGCAAATCCACAGGATTTTTGAGTTGGAAGGGACTTGAGATCATCGCCCAGGAGAGGAATCAGGGTTCAGGAGGATGAAATCACACCACAGGGCCGAACATTTCTGTCTCACACGCTGTAGCCTGAGGGACCAAGGCCAGGTCAGGAGCGGCCGAGAGACACTACGGAGCTCATCGTGACCAATATTCGTGGCTGTGGCTCCCCGTGTGGGGCCCAGGCCCCGCGCAGACTTCCTCACGCATTACCTCTTTTAATCCTCACAACAACCCTGTGATGAGGCACTATTATTTTTTACTACTATTATTATTATTGACTAATCATTGTAAATACTTTTCATTATACAACAAATGACTGTTTCAAAATTATTACGATAATAACCAAGAAAGTAAATTCCCACACTTGAACGTCACTCTATGTTTTACTAAAAAAAAGTCACATCCACATCACCTCATCATCACCTCATTTTTATCCCAAAAACAATCTGGGGGGCGGGGCGGCAGGGTCCAGGGAGAGGTGAGGGCCTGGTGGGCAGCGGCGGCCGGGAGATTAGGGCCTGTGCTCCACGCTCCATCCAGAGCAAATCCCACAGCACCGGCCCCTCCACCTTCTCGGCAGCCTGGGGCCTAGGATGGCTCCCCACCCCGTCCCACACCCCAGGCCCCTGCAGACTCAGCCTGAGGGTGGGTCTAGGCCTGCTTGTCCCAGCTCCAGCCAAGACCAGACACTGACCTTGGGCCGCTTCCACCTGACAGCGGGCCCTGGGGAGCCCTTGTAGTAGAGCGAGTCGTCGGTGGCGGGGAAGTGGGGGTCCTCAAAGAGCACCTTCCTGCGCAGACAGGCTCGCTTCAGGGCCGAATAGTTCTGGTCCTCGTAGGGCTTCACGCACGAGAACATGGTGGCCGCTGCCCCCAGGAGGGGAGCCGGGAACACCTGGACGGGAGGGGAAGAAGACCATCACCTCTGAGTACCTGGGGTCCCTGCTGTGCACGGGTCCCGTGTGTCCCCTCCCAGCAGCCCTGTGAAGCAGGCAACAACATCCCCCTCGTACAGGCAAGGGAAGAAGGCTCAGAGAGGTGCGGAGGTCTGCCCAAGGTCACACAGCTGGTACGAAGTAGAATAGGGATAGGGACTGACTGGCCGGACGCCACAGCCCAGATTCTCTAGTTCCTGACGCTCAGAGGTGATATAGGCCAACAGCACACAGAACTCAGGGCTGGCCGGGCCGCACCCACCAGCCTCCCTCCCTCCGTTTGATCAGCCTTCCCTCGACCTCCCAGACTGAATCAGACAAGTGGCCAACGCCAGGAGCCCCGGGGCTGATGTCACACCCACATCAAAACAGCAGTGTGCATCTCTGCGTTTCTCTCCACGCCTCTGGAACGCAGCACATTTTTGCCCAGTGTGGGAGGACCTTGTCCCAGGCACACCCCAGACATAGGTCATCCATTCCCTCGGCACCCGCTTCCAGCACGCTGCCCTCCTGTCTGCACCCCGGGAACCGTCTCCAGTTCTGCAGGAGCAGGCGCACGGCGCCTGCACCCTCCTTTCACTCCACAGGGGTCCAAGTGGGCCCAGCCAAGCGTCCTGAACCTCGTGCCAATGTGGTGACCAAGTGTAAGGGACACAGACTGGACCAACATGGTCAGGGAAGGCCTCGGGGAGGGGAGGGGGTGAGGGTGGGGAGCAGCAGTCAGGGGGCCCGACACCTCAGGCGCACAGGCGCACGCCGGACGGCCACGCACTGGCATGACTGCCCTGTCTACGCCACCCCGTCTCAGACTCCATCCTGCCCACAGTGGAGCTTCACACCCTGAGGATCTACTCCTCCTGGGGCCTGCCCAGGGCAACACTACAATCCCTCAGAGTACAGGCCAGAATTTCCTATCCCCACCCTGAGGGAAACTGAGGTAGACTGGCTTCTGGGGTGACATTTGAGAGCAAGACTGATGTGGGTGCCAACTGCAGGTGAGCCACACATCTGCTGGGTGACCTTGAACAGGTCACTCACCCTCTCTGAGCCCCCGTTTTTGCACCTCTGTGATGGGAACAATGCTGCTTCGACACCTGGAAGACGCCATTTTCATGAACAAAGTCTGAGGCGACTGTGCGGCGAGAAGAGAAGGGGCCAGGACACCTCTCGCTCAAGAAAGACTCCATTTCCCTACCGTGTGCAAACCACGTGGCTGGAGGTTTGTGTCTGTTATGCAAACAGTGCTGGGTGGGCACACCACTGCCATTTTGCAGAAGAGAGAACTGTGGCCCTGTGAGGTGAGGTGTCCTGCCCAGGTCCTCTGCCTTGGCCTTGGCCTCATGAGGCTGCGCTTCAGGAGAAAGGGCTGAGCGCTGGGCAGGGCCGGGCTCTCCCACATGCCCTGGCTGAGCTGGGGCCTCGCATGGATGGAGGGAGGAGGCGAGAGAGAGATAGCAAGGGTAGGAGGTGAGCTCAAGGGCTGAGGGCTAGTTTGTCTGCTCTGCACCTGAAGCCACTCCATCTTCTGTCCCCACATCCACACTGGGCCCACTGGCTCCCTTAATTTCTCTGGCCGCCCTTCTGCCCAGGAGGCCAATGGCCCTGCCCCTCCCACCCACCCTCCCAGCCTTGGGGGCCTGAGGGAAAGAGAGGGGAGGAGGCTGCAGAGCTAACTCCTGGGCTTTGGCACTCAACCAGTGAGCGCCATTAGCACCACGTTTCCAGCAGGGTCAGCTCAGGAAGCAATTTAAGCTGCAAGAATTAGATCAGAGAAGTAGAAAGCAGGAGCCAGAAATCTGCTCTTGCAATTCCAGTGTTTCAGAGCCCAGAGGGCCCAGAGTGGGTGGGTGAGCTGGCTGGGGTCACACAGCCAGGCTGGTGGAGAAAGAGGGTCTGGCTGCTCTCCAGAAAAGGCAGGGGCCCACACTGCTGGGAGAGTCTGCTCTGGGAAGGACAGAAGGGAGGTGGGTGCTGAGAGGGGAAAGCTCAGCTAGGCAGGGCCCAGGAGCACAGGGGCCAGGCCTGGCTAGCTGAGGGTCTGACATCATTGAGCCACCCCTCCAGCCTCATCCCTGCCCACCAGGCTGACCCTGACCTACTTATGCCAGGCTTATCTGGTCCTCGGCCTTTGCACAGACTGCCCCCTGGCACCCTCCATCTGCCCCAAGGTCACCTCCCATGGCACCCACTGGGCCAACACCGCCAAGGGGTCACAGCTCTCTCCAGTAGCTCCAGGCATACTCATGGAAGGCCACAGATAAACCAAGAGGCAGGAAAGCTGCTTCCAAGCTCCAGGCCTCTTCTTTCTGGGCCTGAGCTTCAGCCACAGCACTTTCCATCTCCTAAGCACTTTTACACTGTTTGGGCTGCACGCGACGCCCTTGAGGGGTTCAGGACAGGCCAACCTTCCCAGCGGCCCTGTCAGCCTGCCCTCTTCCCTTTCCCTGCCAATCTCAGCCCCACCATTCTCCACCCTGGGCCAAAGGTCCAGGGCTCAGCGCTCCCTGCTGCTCCCTAGAGCTGTTTACTCAGGGCATTTGCACACACTGCTCCTTCCACAATCCACCCTCTCCCTCTGCGGTCCTGGAGCCCCCAGGACAGCACCCGTGACGCTGTACCCCATCTGCACAGACTTGTCCGCCTCCCCAGCCCCCCAGCCCCCTGAGGGCAAGGCCCTCCCCAGCGCCTCTCTGTACCCCCAGGGTCCAATGTGAGGGGCAGGTAATTCACTGTGTTCAATGAACCAACAAAGGTAAGCGTGTTAGGAATTCCTTCCAGGATGGGAAAAACAAGCCGAAGAATGGCAGGGACTCCAAGGGGAATCAGCTTTCCATATCACAGCCGCCAGCACACAGGCCTGGCTCTCCATCCCCCTCCTGACACCAGCCGAGCCCACACCCCACCTCCCCAGAGGCTGTAAACCCAGTGCTCTCTGCTGTGGCCCAGCCCTTCTCCAGCTCCTGACGGAGACTCGGCTTTAGTCCCCACTGCCCATGCAGCTGTGAGACCCCCGACAGGCCGCATCACCTCCCTGACCAACAGACATGAGGCTGAATGGAGGGAATATGTGTCATTTCAGAGGTTCCAGCAAGAGGAAGGCAGGGAAGCCTTCAGCCTGGGCACAGAAGCAGGGGAGAAAGGCCGTTTCAGGCAAAGGAACGGCTCGAGCAAAGGCTCAGGGGCAAGAAAGTGCCTGGTGATTCAGACCCAGCCTGGCACAGTGAGGCCCCTGTGGGCCAAGAGTTGGAGCTCTGAGGTGGGTCAGAATGAGAGCCCTGGGGTGCTGGCAGGCAGCTCCAGGAGCCCAGCCCTCTGGCAGGCCAGTTAGACCTGAGTTTGAGTCCTAGCTGTACCCTTTAGCCATTGTGTGTCCTTGGGCAAGTTGGACCTGCTGTCAATCAACAAGCAGGCCTCCCCCAAGCACTGTGAGGTGGCAGAGGACAGAAAGAAAGTAGCATCTGCTCCTGGGCCTGCACTAGGGAAGTTCAGTCTGCCCTTACCATGGAAATGGTGCACCCTTTCATGGTGGCCTAGCCTGTTCAGTGGACCTGCTGGAGGTGGCAGGGACAGCCTGGCTGTGCACAGGATAAAGTAAGGGCTCAAATTCCAGCAGGCCATGCTACACCAGCTGACATCAGTGAGCCTTCTCCAGACATGACAGCCATGAAAGCCATTTGGCAGGTGGGAACATCAAGGAAATTGTCTCAAGTCTGTAGCCTGTTACGTGGTCTCCAGACTCCACATCCCACCAGGACTTCCTGAGGTGGGGCCTAGGTTAACACTGATCCTCTTAGGGGCACCCTGATATGGCAATAAAGAAGCCAGTCAGAACGGTATTCTCTTCCATTCTCTCCCAAGGAAAATTCCGTTTGACTCAGAGTGTCTTTAACCCCTCACAGGCCTTGCCCAACTCCTACCTAACTGAGCAGAAGCAGGCCTCAGGCCGACAGCCTTCTACAGGCAACAGCATCTGGCTGGAATTGAATGAATTTGGTGTTGTTTTTACTTTATTTTTAAGATTCTTCCAGATACTTTGAATTTACGAAGAATAATACTGACTCTCCATTTACAGTAGATATACAGTTTCCTTTAAGAAATATTAGGAGGACCCTAACAACTCCTCCAAAAGACACTTAGATTTGATAAATGAATTCAGTAAAGTCCCAGGAAATAAAATCAACACACAAATACCAGTAGCATGTCTGTACACCAATAATGACTAAACTGAGAACCAAATCAAGAACTCAATCCCACTTAAAAGAGCTACAAAGAAAAAGAATACCTAGGAATATATTTAACCAAGAAGGTGAAAGAGCTCTGCAAGGAAAACTACAAAACACTGATGAAAGAAATCATAGGTGACACAAACAAATGAAAAGACATCCCTGCTCATGGGCTGGAAGAATCAATATTGTTAAAATATCCATATTGCCGACAGCAATCTACAGATTCAATGCAGTTTCTATCAAAATACCAATGTCATTGTTCACTCAATTAGAAAAAACAATCCTAAAATTCATATGAGAGCCCAAATAGCCAAAGCGATCCTAAGCAAAAAGAACAAAGATGGAGGTATCACATTACCTGACTTCAAATTATACTACAGGACTATAGTAACCAAAACAGCATGGCACTGTCATAAAAACAGACACATAGATCAATGGAACAGAATATAGAATGCAGAAATAGAGCCATACACCTACAACCAACTGATCTTTGACAAAGCACAGAAAAGCATACACTGGGGAAATTATCCTCTATTTAATAAATCGTACTGGAAAAATTGGATAGCCTCATGCAGAAGAATGAAACTGGATCCCTACTTCTCATTATATATAAAAATTAACTCAAGATGGATTAAAGACTTAAATCTAAGACTTGAAATTATAAAAACTCCAGAGGAAAATCTAGGGAAAACTCTTTTGGACATTGGCCAAGGCAAAGAATTTATGACTAAGAT